TATTGTATTGTCTTCGGTTCTCCATTTGCACTTTGAAGATAGTATTCGCTTTGGCCTCTTTGCGAATAGTCTCTTTCTTCTGGATTGTGTATTTGTGTCACTTTGCGTAAGCCTGTTGGTATTTTAAATCCAAAGCTCTTACCTTCTTTTGCAAGGGATCGATCTCTTTGTCTGTAGCTTTGAGTTGAAGTTTCAAAGTCTTCATAACAGAACTTGTTCTTTGATAACTTTATTCAAACGCATCATTTCTCCAAAAACTGTCATTCTTTTCCTTTCTATGTTGCATATATGTCTCTTTAATTTTTGTAATTCTCTGGTTTTGTTTAATTAGTCTACTTTCATACGTTTCATTCTACTGTCTCTCTTTGTGATCTGACTTTTTTAGTGTCCAATCAAATTTTCTATGCTTTACATATTCATTTTTTGGCCAAACCCTTTTGAGAAGATGCGATTCGTTGGTCTTCCTCAATTTAAGCATGTCTTCCTCCAGTTTTTTACTGAGATTCTCAATTTTTGTTTGGCCATGATCTTGAGAGCTTTAACTTGTGCCAAATGTTTCTCGAATATTTCTGCCCTTGTGCCTGCATTACTTTTGTCTTTAATCAGACTGTTAACCCTCTCATTCAAGTTTTCGATGCGTTTAGATGCAATTTCTGCTTCCAAACTAAACAAATTTCTCTCCTCTATAGTGCCGCTTAACTCTTTCTTCAGTTTATCTCGTTCGATTTTTATATTTTGGAAATTAGCAGTTAAGTTTTCCATAGTTTCAGTCTTTGTTATCAATTCATTCAGCAATTTTTGTTGCATTTATTCGTACCTCGTTTCATTTTCAACTGACTCATTCTTGTATTGGTTGATGAGATCATCTTTTTCTTCAAGATTTCTAACGAGTTCAGCCTGTTTCTCCTAAGACATTAAGTTCTACTCATAAAATCATAATTTTACTCATCCCTTTATTCTCGTTTTTAAAATGCTGCAGATTTTCTTCAATGTTCAAAAGTTCATCCATGCCTGTATGGTATGTCTTAGAAAAGTTGTAGATATCTTCTTTTGCCGGTGTATGTTTGCCATGCCTAACTCATCGTCTTCAAATTATCATCTTCAAGTCAAATCGTCATCGTCTTCAAATGTTCAAAAATTCATCCATGTCTGTATAGTATGTCTTAGAAATGTTTCAGAAATCTTCTTTTGCTGGTGTATGTTTGCCGTGCCGTAACTCGTCGTCTTCAAATCATGTTTTAATAGATTTTTGTTACGTTTTTTGGGCTTCTTTAATTCTTGCACATGACGGTATAACTGTTTCATGTCATGATTTTACGTCCGAATGAGCTTTTGTCTTTATTATGGCGCGACAGAGGTTCAGCATCTTCAATGCTATGTTTGTTGACAATACACAGTTTTGTATATAATGTTTGTTTAGGTTTGATTTTCTTTCCGTTTCCTTATTTGATGAGATATGTTTTCTTACTCGATACCTAGCCAAAGCAAAATTTTCAGCCTTTCCCCTCATAAACATAGTATGATTTCTCTGACGCCGGAGGAATCACGTCAGGTCCACTTCTATTTTGATTTCGACTAAATGCTTCGTCCTTCATAGTTTATTTTTGAGCAAATGGTACTTTCATTGCATTTGAGTGAAATCTAGGAGTATTTATTTCAGACAATAAATTTCCGCGCGATGAGAAATATAAATCCCATTCTTGCAGTAATTGGGTTGGATTAAACCATGTTTTACCTTCTCGAACACCTACGCATTCTTTCGTTTTAAAATCCAAAGTTTCATACAGTTCGTCTGCAACAATTAAATCGCACAATTTTTTACGATTCTTCTGTATTTTCCTAATCTGACAATCAATCGCGATGCAAACTGAGCATGCGATTCGTTTGCTGAGCGGTGAGCTTGTTTAAAGTTGTTGAGGATCTTTTTTGGTTCGACTTTTAACCCTAGCAAATTAATTAGTATTTCGTCTTACAGACACAGACACACCGGGTGAAGGACCTCCATTCCCAGGTCCTCATTATACGGGACCCATTCAGAGTTTGAAATATCCAACACCCGTGGGATCTCGTTCTCGCAGGCGCAACCCCCGCAGTCCCCGTCTGGCTTTTACTAACATTGCCAAACGCTTCGTTGCTAATTTTAAAACGCTGTCACCTTGCCTCCGGGCACCACTCCATCAGCAAAACCACATTCTATTAAGGTGCTCTGTCAGTTCCCGCCACGAAAACTGAATGGGGTCAAACCCCCGGTAACTCAGTCGACAAATGCACCATGTAGCTCCACCACAGCCGAAGGAACAGACACGACAGTACCAGTACGGTCCCTGCCAAGCCTGAACCAACCTGAGTACAAAGCCGAGATACTTCAGAAAGATTCGAAACTTCTTTTACGACAAATACGTTTTCCAGTAAAATGAAAAACAAATGCAATACATCTGGCTTCTCAGGAACAGGGATTGTAAGCACTGTAATACTTTTTATAAAATTTTCAACGCTAATGTGCATTTCTTCTATCTTCAGGCAATGATTGTGTTCTTAAATTTTCTAGTTCAACGTGTTTCTCGATTTGAGCTAGCTTAAAGTGTTCTATCTCTATCAGATATTCTTCGGTTCAGGCGAAAAGCATTCGCAATTATCGGATAAACGCCAAAAGTCGCTATAACAGTGGTGGCGATTTTCTAATACTTATGCGTTTCGAATACATAGCTGCAGGTCAAGATGAGTAGGATGATGATGCAGCAATTAATTGTCATATCATAAATTCCAGTTGCAGAATGAAACTCTCCTCTTAACTTCATGAAGCGAAGATGACATAGAACCGACCGAGACGATCAGTGCAGGATTTACGTAAAAGCTACACAAGCTATAGCTTAGGGCCCCTACTTCCTTGGGGCCCCCCAAAAACCCTCTAGGTACCCGAAAACTATATTTGGCACTGACATATAATATCTGGACTAAGGGCCCCATATCACAAATACTCGTAGCTTGGGGCCTTATCAAATCTAAATACGGCTCTGGAGACGATAAGCTACTCCTACCTGCCAGTAGCCAGGCTTGGCTAGAAAAATCTGGGAGCATTCGTAAGAAAATGGGTGTGCGATTAACCAGTGCCAAGCAGAGTTAAAAAAAATTTCAACGATGGAAAAAAAAACCGTTTCTCACAATTAATCAGTCTATTTTTACAGTAGTAATCAATATTTGTAGTTACGTAACATAATAGAAGCAAGGCAAAAACAAAAGCAAAAGCAATGAGAAGGGGTAGGTATAACATACGTATTAGGTAAAATACAAAGTCTCAGGTTATAAGATGTTATGAGATATGTTTTAAAGTGGCCATTGGCGTTTTCCTATTTACATGAGCATTATAGTCATAATTCAGTATTGGTATGGTGGCATTATTTACACCCGGGATTTTCCGGTAAATAATATCGTCCAGTTTGGCCATGCATACATTAATTTCTGGTATCTTGAATTCACTGTGAATCGCTGAGTTTCGAATGAACCAATTGCAATTCCCCGCTTCTCGGAGTGCAATATTTTGTACAGTTTGCAGCTTCTGCATCGAGGTTTTACATGCATATCCCCAGACAGGGAAGGCGTAGGTAATAACGAGAAGCAACATAGTCTTGTAAATGAATACCATATTGTCAATAGATAGAACGCTGTTCCAAGCAATTAGGGGAGCGAGTGTAAGCTTACGCATTCGGAACTTAGTAAGAATTTGTGTGATGTGTGGAGACCAAGTGAGCCAGTGACCAAGGATAACTCTTAAGTAGCGAGGCTGCTTAGTCCAGGGAATTGCGGTATCATGCATCAGTACACGAAGATTAGCATCGTAGTTTCTTTCTTTGTAAATAGAATTGCATCAGATTTTGATACATTTATCTTAATCTTCCAGGAGCCCAGCCAGGACTCCAGTGCTTCCATGTGGTTTTGTAGTGCCTGTATGACTGATCCATGAGATCCATTTTGTGATAGAATTGCTGTGTCATGCGTACAAAGCTAAGGTGGTGTGTGGTGTATATGGAATGTCATTCTTGCAAATGTTGAATAAAATGATGCCCAAATGGGACCCTTGTGGGACCCCAGACTGTAGAGGCCTGGGAGAAGAGATAATACGGTTGACACGAGTCACAAAGTGTCTATCTGTCAGACAGGCACTATTGATTTTAGTGATGTAACCTGGGAAGCCCAGGGTGATTAATATGTGTATGAGACCCTCCAGCCCTACTCGATCGAAGGCCTTTGAGACGTCCAGAAGATATTCTCCATTACTTGCATTAGTTGTCCGATCCTTCGCGATAAATTCTACGACGCCACGAACAAATTCAACATTTGTTTTGAAGACATCCGAATCTTCAGCAATTTTTCTACCATCAGCTTTCTTAGAAATTTCTCAGCTATTAATTTTAAACAACTTTTTTTGAATTATTTGAGAAATTCATTTTGAAAACAAAACAGAGCTACCATTATCTTGAAAGAAACGTTTTCACAGTATATTATTCTGAAGTTCATCGGCTCTGAGCTCCCAAAGCTTTGGGGGTGAAAACAGAAATCACACCCACTGGTTCCAAGTATTAGGTTTTATTTAATTCAGGTCTGTAGCTGTCCAAGTCTGCTTTCATAAACGTCAATTCATAGACGATAAACTCAAAAATTATTACATCTTTAGAATTCTGTCATGCAATTTTATCTTTTATAGTGTTGCCAAGAAATTTAAGATGAATTTAAATGTACAATTAGTTTTTAATTCCTTTGTGGCTCGATTCTCACACATATATATGTATAATAGTTACATATATATTTAAAAGGGTAAAAATAGTTGAAAAATTTAATTCAAGTAAAAAGAAAGACAGCCGGAAAAGTGTGAGAAACAGTGCCTTATATTTTGTATGAATGAAACGAAAAGTTAAAATGTTTATGACATTTTTGTTTCTTAATACTTAAAAGCAATATTTTATTCTTTAGATTAAATACCTGACATTTTACATCTGTTTCAGGTTAGTTACTATCGCTACGCCCAGTATGACGTCTCGGATATTTAATAGGTCGGCAAAAAGCAGCACAGTTTGCCCACTTTGCACAGAGCACCACAGCCAGTGTTGGGACAGTTATGTAAAGCATTCTTCCATTATTGAAGCATTCTAAGTTATTTTACTTTGAATCAAACTGAATTTTTAACCTTCTTGTGAAGTTCTTACGAACCAAAGAGAAGTTGGTCTCAAATTATGTTCTTGATGAGGTACCTATTCCACATTTGCAGGCTTGTGGTTAAAGTGAAAGTATTAGAAATACTTAAAAACATTATTGCGTCCGAAAATTTTACTCTGTTTCATCCCGAACACCCTCTTGGGATTTCACAGAATATTGTCAGATAAAAGTAATCGTTGTTACGAAGTTGTTTCCTAATGTTCCATCCAGAAGTTTGATAAAGAATGGTTAAAATCATAAAACGTGGGATAGCAACATAGAAATTAATCATATTGTTAAATAATGCTCATACCTTAATAAAGAAAACCGTTTCAATTTTCTATTTCGATTTTTATCTATTATTATTTGAAAGATTTATGATGGCTTTTGGTAAAGCAGATCTCGTGGTTGAAAATTAGATGGTACATTAAAAATTAAATGAAAGAAATATATTTATTAAGAAATTTTTTCACGACCTGTTCTTTATAGATAATTATTGATAATATATAAATTTGTATAAATTGTGCATTCATCAGTTTAGATGGCCTCTTCAGAATAAGACGATTAAAGATTAAAACGTCGAAAACAGCTTAAATAATTAATTCTTCCTCAAAAGTAAGCATTAATTCTAATTTAATTAAATTGCATATTAAATTTCAAGAACTTTTAACCACAGGCCTTTCTTCATGTTAGACATATACTAAATGTCATCGCATGGACTCTAACATCCCCAAATAATACCCAATGTCTGATAAACAGAAATATTTCTATGAAGACTTCATTGAAATATATATTTACCATGCAGAATGTAAAAGATATTTCTGTTCCGGTTAATACATTTACCCATTTACTGATTCCAAGTTGAAGGGTACAATCATAAATTTACTTTCGGGAACAACTTGTATCTCATTCAAAATAATATTTTAGTGGCTTACTGCCTAAATACTCTAAAAGAAATATGATCGGCATTTTCCTTTGAGCCCTTCAACACAGAATACGGTAAATGTAATACTATTTTTGAAATAGACTATTGCATCACGAAACATTCTTGATGTATTCATGGTTGTTGTTTAAGATTTGTTTCATAGAAAGTTGCGTTTGAGATTTTTGTAGCATTAATATTCGCTCATAAATATCTAAGTCTGAATTTGAATTTGTGTTTCCTTTTCGGTTAAAATTAGCTGTTATTGTTGCTCGCTTGATGTACGCTTTTTTGACTTCATGTTGTTTGCTCTGAGATTCAGTGTACAAAAAGATCAAATTCAGATGATAAATGCATGTCAAGAATGATAGTACAAACTTTGCTAAAATTTATTCTTCAGTGTTTTCAAGATATTACGATTTGTTTTGAATATTATTTTTGTAAAATCTTCTGCCATTTTAAACAATCTTGTAGCCTTTTCCTGTATATTCCACGCAGAAACACTATTTATATTTGCTGATTTCTTTTTTTCTTTCTTTCCTTATCTTTCTTTTTTTTTTAAATATTTTTATACGAGGAAATATTTTTCTCCTCGTTATTTTCTTTAATGCATTAAGAAATCATAGGGGTAATCAAAATAAAATTAAAATAACAACCAAAAAATAAAAAGCAGGCAGCTATTTACAGAATTTTGATAAACTTTTAGTCTTTTTCGCATTGAAGAATTCCTTTACGTTTCTCTTCTAAATACCTTTTATTAAAATGTTATTAATATAAAGCTCAAAAGACTAAAATTGCTCATTTTTATCAATACAAACTGCTCAACAAATACCAGATGTAAAATATTAAAATGATTTAAAAATACTACTATGCAAACAATAATATATCAAGTTGAGGATCCGTGTTTTGACTATTCGTTAATGAATAAAAAATATTAATAAATAAATGACTATTTCATTCATATATTCATAAAATGAAATCAGAAAGCGAGTAAAATAAAACTAAAAAACTTCTTTTCGTTTGACTTGTGCGATGGAAACAGAACTTAATAAATAATTAAGTTTTTTTTTTTTTTTTTTTTTTTTTTTACATATTCAGTAGTAAATTTATACTGTTAAGCTGTTTTTTTAACAAGAAATGAAATATGAGTTAATGCAGAGAAACACGCTAGTTTCTAGTGAAATTTTCAGATTTTAGAATTTGTTTGGAATTTATTTACTACTTTTTTTTACTTTAAAAAACCCATCTCTCATTCCGTAAATCATGAAACTGTCTTTTTATAACTGGATGTCTTTTATGATAAAAAAAGTGCCATGATTTGAAAACTACTTTTAGTTTTATTTCGTCTTCAGAAATGATTAAAATCAAGCACAAGCATAATTTCTGAGCACATGAGACAATAATGTAAAAATAAGAATAAATGTAATATTGCACATGTCTTCAACTGCACAGTTGAAATATGTTCTCAGGGAATCATTATGGTTAGGTCCGAATTTATTTGCAAGTAATTTTTTTTTCTGCTACTTAACACTATTCCCCCCTTTTAATTAATTACACATTTTAATCTTATCTTTAAATCTCGTTTAAAGTAGACCATAGTGTCAGCAAAACTGTCCTTGGTTTAGCCGTTGTTTTCTTTTGTATCCAAACTGGATTCTTTGCCCTCCGGGCAGAAAGAGTTAGCTAGTGCCACAAAAGATGTGTATTTTATCTGTCTCTCGACACTGGAAACCGCTGGTGCGCATCACAGTCTCTCACTGTTAGAGCACAAATGAAGAGACATAATAATATCACTTTCATGTATATCACTAGTCCTCTGAATGTTCCGATCCTAAACACAGTTTAGAGGTGTCAGCAATGCGTCGGTAGTAGTAACCTAAGCGGACCGCGTTAGAAATACGCGTGGGCGTTAACAGCACCGTTGCTTATTAAAGAAATGCCCTGCCTTGTACGTAGTCGTCACGTTATATGCCCATATTTACCTTTTTTACCCTTCCTGAATTTATATGATGTGAATGCTGAGAATTTGGTCGTTATGTTGATCCTGCTTTGAACTTGGTTACGCGTTTTTCTGAGGATGTCAGTCTTCTGATAATTTTGCTACTCTATTTTGCTTTAACCAAATTTTGAAATGGTGTCCAAAAGGAATATGCGAAATGTTAAATAATTTAATATTTGTCTGATATTTTGGGGCTATGCAATTTATGCTTACGATTTGTTTTTTAAAGAGCGATGTCGGTGTGAATTTGTTTCAAATTTTGGATACTACTACTGAAATTGTCTTAATATCGGGTTTTTTTTTCCCTTTTCGATAAGATGTTAGAAATCATATTTGATATTAAAGTAGTATTTTAAGTGATTAATAGTTAATAAACTTCAACATAGGATATTTTTCTGCATTTAAAATAATAATTTATGGTTAGGTAATAAATCAATGAACAGAAATTTAGACTTCGAGATGAATTTTTTTCAAAATTAGGACTTCGCAAAAATTTCGAAACAGGGAAGGTTTGAGATACCGTATTTTACTGAGTTCGAGAACATAAGAAAGATTTATATAGAGAGGCAAATTTTATGAAATTAAATGAAAGAGATATTTTTCCCGTCATCATCGAACAGCTGAAAACATATTTATTAATTATAGAATAACTAGCACTTTTCCGTCACGTACCTACCACGCCTTTTCAAGAAACCACACGCGAAGATCCGATGGGGTAGTGCCATCTTGGCTTATCTTTGTGTGTGTGTATATCTGTATGTGTGTGTGTATCTATAAACTATTCTTTGTACTTTTCTGTTATACGGGCTCCACGAAAAAAAGCATATGGTATTTTTTATTCTAACAGTATTAATAAATTTTAAATACATTATAAATGACAAAGAATTTAATTTTGAACAGAGGCCATAAATTTAGAAATGTTTTGCAACATTTTGGGAAAAAAAAAATCATTTTTTTACGCAGTCGTACCCATATAAACTCTAATGTGTATGATTCAAGATGGTGGCGTGAGGTGCCATGTTCACGTTTAATAAGCCATTTTGCACTGCCACACATTCTTTCAACTGCTTGCGTATGACAGCCAGTGTTTGGGTCTACGAAATCGTATCTATGGTTAACTCTGATATTATCATATTTTGCTTCTTTCAAATCCTCTGTATGCTTTCTAGCAATCAGAAAAAAAAAATTGTACTACCGTCTAAATGTCGCAGACATTTTTAGCTGAGCGATCCGAAGCTACAAGATAACTTCTTTCGGTTACAAAGCTACAAGATAACATTCTTTTGTTTCCCTACATGGGCCTCCAAAAACCCACTGTAGAGGAAGCACACGTCCAACGTTACTTTTTCTTCTCGTAAAAAAGACTTTCGCCAGCTTCAACTATTATGTTATTTCCACCAATTTTAACTTCAGGTCTACATACCAAGGCGTGAGCGCAAACCTCCAGAATATAACCGTTCCAGTCCACGACTGCATCGTGGTTCATTTTTAATTGCATATTACAAAACTCAACTGAGGTCAGGTCATAGCACTGTGATGCTTCTTTGGCGAGAGCAACTCCAATGATGGAACACAGCAATAACTTTTATTTAACACTCAAAAAAATGGCGACATACAAACAAGAAGAGAAAACATATTCTAACATTTAAAAATAAATTACATTCTTCGTGCAAGAGTCGCACGTGGCACTCGAGTCTGGTTTCAAATATTGCCATTCACAAATACCTTAATGTTCATCTATTTAAATTATTTAAACTACAAGATTTTAATATTATTTAAAGCTGTTACAGCACCAACAGTAGATAAATTTTACAGCTGTAAGAAAATTTAGTTGCGATTCTCCAAATCAAGTGCGAGTTCTAGCACAGACTTTTTATCGACAAGATCAAAGATTTCAACGCCATTTTGGTATATCGTAGTTGGTAACACACAACATCATTTTATGATTTTTTTTACAAAATGTTCGCCTATGAGGAAATCCTTTTGACTGCATCCTTCCTACTCATCTATAGGTAAGACCCAGATTGTGAAATTCATTTTCTTTCTTTCTTCCGCCCCCCTATGAAAAGTGCTTTTAGTCAAATAATGTAAACGAAGAAAGTCATCTATCAAATTATGTTTCGTGCAGTTCTAAGAAAAGGTTGCAAATCATAACACGTGCCTCAGTTTCACTCATAAAACTGAGATGACTTAGCTGATTACATTGTTGCATCTTCGGCACGTTAAGAATCGCACATTTTAAGAATGTTTTTTCGTGACGCCTGTTTGACGGAACAGTACCCTATTCTTATAGTTAGAAATTGTTTACATTTAAAATGCGTGGCAAGTGCATAATGGAAAAGTACCGATTAAATTATACAAGAATAATTGAAAGCAGAAACGAATACTTTTTTCCCAAGAAGTAATCTCTTTTTAAATTTTCGAGGTTTTAACATCAAAACGATAATTACTGAACAAAGGAACTGAACACTAGAATTTCAAATGTACGAGAAAAAATTAGCCCAATAATTTTACCTGATACGCGTTACACAGAATTTAAAAATGAGTATGGTGCTATGGGTACAAGACAGTTTCCGCATAAAATCAACAACCTAATAAAGCAACATATTATTACACTGAATAAAATAATACAAATAATAAAAATCCTAATTTTTTAATGGGCTAAGTGAAAATTAATATATATGCGTATAATATAATGGAATGCTTTAAACATACTTTTAACACGAACATGAAAAACCCGTTGAACATAAATTAAAATACAAAACAAAACTTAATTGGAGGCAGTGAAAAAGCAATTTTTACCATTCAAATCTGAGTGTAAGATAGGATATAACAAACAACTGCGTTAAATGGATTAGATTAGCTCATTTTTAAGTACAAATAATATTTTAACTTTTTCCAATAATATTGCTTATAATAAAAAATCTAACACGTAAAGTAATTTTTTATTTAAATAATGTTATTAATGTTAACTTGTGCTTTGAAATATGCTAATCAACTCTGAGTTTTGAGGATTTTTCAAAATAACAAAAAATATATATAACTGAAGATACGTGCTTTATATTTTATCAAATAAACTGTTATTTTAAAATATTTTTATTGGACTGAAATTTAGTAATTGTATTTATACAGAATAAAGTTCTGTGTAACATAGATATATCGTTTGTATTAGAATTCATTTATAGTTTTCTGAAAATGCTGTTAGTATGGAATGAACCATTTCGTCAATTTAGAAATTAGAAATGAGATTTTCGATAGACTGACGACAACTGAACAATTGGATAAACATCGTACTATTGCACCCGAAAGCAATACCCATCTGTGAGGTTGCGTGCGGCATATGGAAGATCTTTTCAGTATACCACGAGTAATGCTCATATTATTTTATTTAGCCCACAACACGGATACCGGCATAAGATAGTCATCACGCAAGATCAAATATATATATATACACACTCACAAACACATCCCTACAGAAATCGCGAAATCTGCTCTCTTCTCTGTTTTTTGTGATTTGGAACATTAGTCAGACAAGCCAGGGCCTTTAAAATTGTAGTTAATTAACACACCAATACATATCTGCACTAAAAAAACAACTGTCACTAGCTAAATACTACAGATATGGCTAAATAAACGCTTTCATTAAAGCACAAATATCAAATGCGGAAAATCGTTAGGTTATTTATTAGGACTAAGTTGCACTTCGAGCACATTTTCTTCGATATCATTTAATATATGCGTTGTTAAACGTTATATTTGAATTAAATAAAAAATACTGACACTTCAACAGGATGTGTCATAAATTTAGCATCATACAATATTTCATAGAATTTTTCCTGTTATGAGGTAGACCAGTTATCTTATGGGAGTAAACCTAGACCAATGGTACAGATTTTGTTTTTAATTGAAACCCTTCGTCATTATTAAAAATCTAACATATCCCCAAAATGACATTTTTAAGTTTTGAAAAAAATTGTACGACGATCTGATTAATTGCTGAAGCAGTTTGTAACCTATTATAATAATCAGTGATTTGAGAAAGACCGTTTCAGTTTCTGGAAACAAAAGTCTAATAAAGATGTTTTCTTGAAATTTGGTTTAAAAGGTTTCATCTCAAGATAATTCAATATTTTTCCAGATCTTATAATAATTAGCCACTTATCTACCTTAGCTAATCCGAACAAAATTCTTTTTAAGAACAGAAGTTTCGATCTCCACCATTTATGATGGATGAAAAAACATTATTCTTACAGAGTTCTAGAAGAAAGCATTGGAAAGACATAAACGGTATTCATGTATTCAACACATAAGAGAATTTAAGGGTCTTTCTTTACTGAAATCTTTTTGCTCTATACTTGATTGCTTTTTCTGCCTCTCTGGGATGAAATGCGCCGTTCCTGTCTAGGATTTCCTAGGAATTAACACAATCCATCTACGTACACTGAGGTTTTGAACCTTGTAACAAATCTGTATGATACTGAACTTGCGGGACATCCTATGTCTTAAATTTCACTCTTCACTTCTCTTATGAAATTTATTATTACGAAGAAAAACTCTTCACAACATTTTATAAAAACAAAAAAATACAAATTATGAAAAAAATACTTAAACACTGCAAGAATAAGTATATTCTTTCAAAGTCACTCCATCAAAATCGTAAAACTGATAATTGATGTAAAACGGAGACGAGTTTAAATTTCGTTTTGTGTTTTCTATCCAGCAATATCTATTCTTTTTCAGCTTTTATTACAATATCATTTACTTCTGGAACATGACCTTCATAAAAATGATGTCAGATTAATTTTCCGTGTTCGTCTAAATTAAAGAAATTACAAATACAGAAATGCACTCCTTTTTTTTCATGATCTATAGCCATAAATTTTCATATAAATTACTGTCATCCTATTTGGGAGGGACCAGAATTCAGCCTAATCTTATTCTTACCAAAATATGTCCATACGTTTCAGTTATTTTGTTTTCATCTAAATATTTCTTTCGTGAAAAGTTATCATTTCGCAAATTTATGTGTCTTGTTTTATTATCATTGACTAATAATTTTACTGTGTAAAAATTGGATGTTTTTCTCTTTAAAAATTAGATAATAATAATACATTATTCGCATTGTTATTCTTTGTATTGATAACGTATTTTCATTCAATATTTTGTGTAAAACTCATTCTAATTACAATAAAATGTGCCAAAGCAATGATGGAACTGTCTATTTTAGCATTTTCTTTTCCATAATTGAAGGAACCTTTACAGAAGATTTAAAGTTTAGAGAAAAGATAAAAAAAGTTTCTTCTAATTCATGTGAATGTATGATATTGTAGAAAAATACAGTGGAACTTCGAAAATCAAAATTGAAAGTGAGAACAAAAACATTTTTCATGTAACCGAAAATTTTCAAATAAACAGAAGAAAATTCTTAAAATTCTACTTAGAAACAATATAAATGTAGATGTAATTACACTGAAGAAGTTCTGAAATACAATGAGTTTAAAGCTGAATACATAGTTTATTTATTTAATTCTATAACAATTAGAAAATCACAAATACATACAACACAGCACGATCGACCACTTAGTAACAAACAGAACATATGAAAGTTCATTAGCCTCTTAGCAGAGGTAACAGTCGGACGTATCGGGGAATCTGTTTCATCCTCCGGGGATTAAATCTGTGATGTCTACGGCTATTGGCGGCTAAGTATGATACAAGAGCAGAGTGCCGCCCATAAATGGTGCAAGAATTATGGCTGTTCTGGCTGATAATGGAAATTGGCTGGCAATTACATTTTTTGAAGCAACATGGAAAACTAAATACATAGTATCTGAGAATACTAAATCATTCTTGAAAAATTAGGTGCACTCTTGTGAATACTATACAAGTGTGCAAAACTTTAGCGGCAAACGCATTTTTCAATGTAAAACCATGAAATTGTTGAAAAGGGCTTTTTGCGATCAGTACAATGATAAGCCAACTCAGCAGAAATGCTATGCATATGTAAATATCAGCACCATGACGTCAGACGGTATGTCATGGTAAGCAAAATGCAAGGAGACAGCGCGCAGTTGCAAGGCAACTTAAGAAAGAAATGCACATTTCCAGGCATTCTTCAGCAAGTGAAAGTGAGATTGTACGTGCAGCATGGCTACAAGAAAACATCACAATGCCTTTACACATCGTAGAATGACTGGTAAGCTTAAGGGGGGGCGCAGTTTGGTGTGTCTCGCATAACTTTGGAATTAATAAAAGTGTCGTTTCACGAGAAAGCTTCCAAATCACAGGTGAAGCTATACGAAAGATTGGTGGTGATGAGCTAAGAAAAACAATGGTGACTGATGACCGATACATCACCCTGCAGATAAAATGAAATTGAAATTAGACAGGACAGGAATACGCACTTGCAGGGTGCCGAGAATATGGAAAATTTGGGAATTCAAAGTCATTCGGATCATATGTTAAGAATATATAGCATAAGGAAGCTGGATTCCTAAGCTGTAATATTTTGGTTTTAAATGCTTCTAGCTCCGACAGAAGATATAAAGGAGGTATTCCGGTGCAGCAATTAGAAGTGCTGCAGAAAGATTTTATGCTGAGGAGAAATAGTCATTAAATAACACGGAGCTGTTCCCTGCTTCCTCATCATCAATGATT